CGTTAGCCAATAAATTTTATATTTTTGTTATGTCTTGTCTGAAAGTCATTTGCTGGGCTTTAATTTTTATTTTTAAATTACGCTTTCCACCCGGTGTATCAATCGCTGATGTCTCCTAGTGTAAAAATACCTCTTTGTATGAGTTCGACAGAGAAGAGTTGGGCTGGGAAAATTATATATTGAGAATTAAAGTGACTAGCCGCAAGTGGAAAACGAAAAGCAAAAAGAATCTAGTAGAAGACACTAGAGAATGCTCAGGGATGGGTTTACAGGGGGGTGCACACCCATCCTAACCCTGGCAACAAAGCGTGAAACACCGCTTCTCCCGTTTTGAAATTATGACGTCATAGGGCCCTGGGGACGCTTAATGACGTCATAGGGGTCCCCGCCTGATACAGATCTGGAGTGACAAGAAACTCAAAATGTAAATCTATGAGACCTGAAATCTAGGGTAGAGCCTGCTCGCAGGCCTAGGTCATGTGTCTCGAATCACAAGTGCTCTACATGGCTCTAGTTCAATTTAATCTAATAGGTTTAACTTTTTTTAATTGCACAGCTGCACGTATTAATATAGTTTTTGCAATGTCACTAGAAATGTCGTGGAAATGGATAATGCACTGCCACTTTTGAATCGTCGCGCAAGGCAGTCTAAAAGCACTGGGATGAAATCATCGCTAAATGTCCTGATTTATAATTATATTTTCGTCTGGATAGCTAATAAATCGGTAATATTAATGCTTTATAAATAGTGAAAGTAAATTACTTTAACTAATAAGGAGTAGTAATGCTTTACGATAACACAAAAAGGTGAAGAAATTCATTCAGCGGTGATCATGACTCGATCGATGAAACAAAATGTCAGAAAGTTTATACAACAATACAATGCAAATTTAATACTCAAATATTTTCATATTTACATATTCACCCAATAAGAAGTTGCTATTCACATTAAATATTCAATTTTGTATTAACAGTCTTTCTACACACGCAATATTGGTTATATACACAGTTTGTCTTTTCAATCAGCCAATCAGGAAGCGTTTCATCTTGTGCGCACAGCAGGAATCACCCAATCGTATCCAATTATTACCAATCTGTCAACAAAATATGTCTGCGGGCATTTCCGTAACTTCATCTTGGAATTTCCCCATTCATGGCCGGAATTTTCCCAAGAACAATTTCACGTGAATTTTGCAATTCGAAACAAACGATGAACGGTCAAACAACAACATAAACAGGAATGAAATAATAGTTCTAGCTCTCTCAACGTTGTCTGGTGTCTGTTAGCAAGTACTTTCAAACATGATTCCCAAATAATTGATTTGCGTCGCAAACGGGTAATTTTACATCTCGTCAACATGCCAATGTCTTGAAAAATATTTGGTCGCTAGTTGTTCAAATCACAGGTAATAGACTAAGATCATAGACTATCAACTGTGATCAAATATACAAGTTACAATCTAGACTGACAAGTTAGAACAATTGTTGTAGTAAAATTTTTGGAAAAACCATTACGCATTTTACATACGGATTTAGTGTAAAATCTGTAATTGTTCTAAACCAATTAGAATGCAATAGACTGCTTTGCGGTTTTAGAACTGACGGAAAAACATTTATCAATACATTGAATGTATTAAGTAATGCCCCCGATAAAAAGCCCTCAATAAAGCTTGTAAAAGTTTCTTCAAGACATTGAACGGATGCGTCTGGCATATTAGTCAATTCGAAATTCGTGTTTTATCTTGACGAGTTCGGTTTGCTCAATACACAGCCTGATACTGATTGTGCGCCATCGTACGCGATTTTATTAAGTCCTGCGATCGTCTGTTGTCCTTTTCGACCGTTTTCATCATATGTACACTTCCAGAAACTGCCATTGACACGACTGCTCCAACAGACATAACACCCACAAGCAAAGCAGCAATAAAAACCATTTCTTATAAATGTCTCTCGTCCAATGCAAAATAACTTGCTCTTTAACAGTACTTGGTATAAAAATTCTTCGTTCACGTAAAACTATTGAACAATACAACTGATCGACAATCAGAGTCTCCAATAAATGATACAGCGTAGTTCCTGCGGGCCTTTTGTATACATCGGTAATATATGGCATAATTATCTTGTATTATATAAATTATCAATAAATTTATACGACCAACTAAAACTCGCATTATGATTGGTCAGTTGAACAGGAAACGCATGTTAGTAATTAAATATGTGCAAAATCATCAGACCACCGCTCATTATAATATCAAATTACGCACGTGTGGGAATTTTCCCAACAAGTATTGCATTGAATGTAAAATTACTGCGTGTCGGTTTGCCAGTAAAACGCAGTTGCGAAACAGCCGGACTGCCGGAGGACAGTAGGATTGGGAACAAAAACATACAAACATGGCCATGCTATGCGTATGGTGTTGTAATACTATTAATTTGTTACATTTTTTCTCAGAACCGATCATTACAGATGTAATAGTGAACAGAAATGCTACAGGTGATAAACTGGATTCATTAGTGATGCATTTCTGGATGCATGACACATGGATATAAAACTGTGAAGACATCTGGAGAAATTTCAAGCGGAAGATTGCACATAATTTTAGACCTAAAGCCCGTTCTCCACTACGCGAATTTGTTCGCGCGACGCGAAAACCGAAATCCGGCAACGTGATTGGTCGGCGAAAAAATTCGCGGCGAAAAAGTAGGATCGCTTCCTACTTTTTATTTGTTCGCGCGAATAAATTCGCCTAGTGGAGAACGGGCTTTAGTCACGTGACCAGGAGCAGCTGTGAAAAATGCAAAAATCCCGATCCAAAACGTTCATACTACTGTGTGCAATCAAACATTGTAGAGTTTCATCTTTTTCACATTGCCGAGCTCATTAGTAACAGTTGTATACGACGCGGCCGGCTCAACGACGCGCTTGCGAAAGAAAGAAATTTGTCATGCAAGACAAAAACTGTGAATAATTTGTGGTCCCAGGGGTATTCTCAACGGCTTTGTCATGCCATAGTCATGCTCAGCACAACGTTAAACTAAGCCTTTTAACTAAGCATATTATCACGTCTTTGAAGCAAACATTGCATCGCTTTAGTCAAACTTAGCAGTTTGTAATGTTATTTGAAAAATCTTCAAACATTTATTGCAGTAATGAAATTGCTTAACGCTCATTCTTGAGCTGAAATTCAGACCGCGTCGTTGAGCCGGCCGCGTCGTGGATCTTAAGCTCTCTAATGTCTGTAATGTCGGCCTTGCGATTTCTGCCCGAGGTGCGTGTAGTCCCAGACTCCCAAAGGAGGTAAGACTGCGCTATGTCAGAGGGGGTATAGTTGCGATGAAATAAATGTTTAAAATTTACACTGGAAATTTCCATCTACAAAATCCTTCAACAATAAGTTCTATCGAGTGATGCCGAAAATCCTCAAATTGCCTCATTCCCTATTAGCAAGGAGTTATATCTGATATTTTTTGCATATAATACCCTCGTCTACGTCGTCCTCATCACTCAGGATCCGAAGAAGTAAATATGATTTGAATCTTTTTAGAAGATGATAATTTAGGCAACATAATGCACTAGTCAATCGAAGTCCCTCCCCCCCCCCGGGGATATACCGGGTTTTAACGGGACTTTGCGGGGGAAATACAGGCTTTTACAAACGTCGCTTGTTTGCTACCCGGGGTTTTAACACTGACTTAAATAGCCGGGGCATCATAGCCGGGGATTTAACGCCATTTTTAACGCTCGTACGGCCTGGGAACTAATCGAATTCGCAGCATTTTCTCGGCCTTCTTCACCTCGTTCTTCACAGATTTCGTTGGATTTTGAGTTCGTATACATACTTTAGTATTTTTTTTGTTGATATTATTGGTGATCAGAATACAACAACCGAAGAGAAAAAGGTTAGGAAACGATGTTTTTTTGGTTTAATGGAATTATTAATGTTAGGATTTTTATCTGAAACTGCGGAAATTTGAAAAAAAAACACCCAAATGTTTAGGCCCGGTAACCCGGGGATTTTAACAATTGAACAAGATTTTTTAGCCGGGGTTTTAACAACCGTGAAATGTTAAAATCCCCGCATAGTCCCGGGGGTCGGGGGGCCGGGCTTTCGATTGACTAGTGCATAAGCGTGCGACCTCACATCGGGAATTAACTTAAATCTGGCAGGAGCTTCAATTCCTTTCGTTTGACTGAATTTTTTCCTCTAGTCTTTTATAAATCTCTAAACAGAACTATATAATAAAAGTTGACAGGGTGGGTTAGGTAAAAGGTCCCACAGTAATTGGCATATGCTATTGTGGTGACCCTGCCCTAGTTGGCAAAGCTTAATAAAATATATATATATAACTAATTGTATGACGCAAAGACAGTGAAAGACCCACGGCCACGGGAATACCCAGTTCATCCCATCGAGGAGACGAGTCAGTTTTCAATTTCTGCGGTGGAACGATATTCACTTTTTTGCATGTAGACATGAATTTTTACAGTTCAAACATTTAAACGATCGAAAATATTGATCAATATTAAATTCCAGATAACAATGCAATTCTGCAGTTCTAGATGCTTTTGATTATAATACGTCCTTGACCGTCTATTCTTTTCGGGTGAAATTTTTCCCTCTGTCAGTTTATAACTAGGCGACATAACATTGATGCCTGAGGAACGCCAGTCATTGACATCATGTCCTCATTTGGCGATATTTACAATTTGATTTCTATCTAAATGTTTCTCAAACATTTTCGGATACAACACAGCTTTGCTATTAAGCATGCAGGCTACTTCAAGTCGGGTCATGCATGGATTAATATTAACAATGCATCCATTGTCATTGGCTCAAATGATACCTACCTAATTTTCCCCCAAAAAATTCAAGTTTTTTTACAATAATACTTATATACGGTGTAAGTGAATTTATTAAACTATGGCCAAAAATGCGTCTACCTATACAATAAGTAAATACTTAAAAAAAATTTTCAATTGCCTTTGAATGGCTAATCTATTCCGCGACCCACTGCGCATTTGAGATGTTCGACGTAAACAAGGATAATTTATTCGACGTTGACAAAGCCATCAAGCGAAACGACGATTATAAACAGCCATAAGTTTTGTCGAGAAATTGATGTAAAGAAATATTCAAAATGGTTGTGACTGTTGCTGTTGTTGCTGTTACGTGTGTTTTAGCAGCTGGGGTTATTGGAGTGGCTATTGCAAGCGTTGTCGCGATGTTCAAGTTGTCAAAAGAGAACGAAAATGGCATACAACAATCATCGGGATTGGGACGTTCGTCTATATACGCGTACTATCCGGTGGTTTACTGAATGGAATCAAGAAATGCACTTTTGGTTTTTACCTTAAAAACGGAGACTTCTTTTTACATTATTTGGAACGAATATTTAACCGAAATTACTAGAATATTTATGCTAGAATGTTTTGGTCGAATTATTGATCGCATGGCGTCTATTGTTAGACATTTATAGCATAAACTGTGCTGCAAATAACTGGAACGGAGGGATTTTAGACTTAGATATATTTTGGGTACATTATATATATATATATCTTTACTCTTTAGATGTTACGATTTTTCAAATTTGACTTGCGTTTCATCAGTGATAGTGCATAGAGTTTTATATTACATTAATATTTGTTCAAGATCATTTTAGATATTCGTCATAACGCTCTTTATTTCACATAGCAATACTTGCTTACACTACTAATACATTAGCAACCTTTTAGAAAGGTTTTAACTGAGTGTTGTGTCCAAGGTTCTATCACTCTATGACTTCAAAAAAAATATTCCAATATTGTTTTTCTAAAGCGTTAGTGCAAAATTGATGAAATATTTGCATTTTGAAAACATCATTATAGGGGCACGTCATGTGTGTAATTTCGTATACCTAGTCGTCAAAACATGATAATGCACATAATTACTAAACTACCATTAAATTCCTTTTTATGTATTTTGCGCAAAGCCAAATTGTTTATAGATCTCCAAATTGCCATAGTTGCGCTTTCTTGCAAAATACAGTAGTTTCGAGTTTCAAAACTTAATTACAGGGTGATACAGCGTGACACAAATACAATATTGTACGTTCACGGCTGATACGCAATAGACAAAATATTTTGGTTTCTTTAGCAATCAATGTTAATACATCATATAGTCTTACCCTCCTAAACTGGTTTTCTTTCCAGCACCAGAAACTGTTGAATCATTTAACAGAGTTTTGAAGATTCAATATTTTAGGTTTATATTTTCTCATGATCAGCCCAGCTTACGTCATCTCGATGTGATCCAGCCTTGTATTTCATCAGTGTGAACAAGACTATATTGAATGATTTTGGCCAACAACAACGGTATAATTGCGCGCATTATGTTTTTTTTACTTCTGTCGGAATCAAGGTAGAGCTACATATCCGAAGCTTGTATATTTATGAGAGGTTGTCTTACTATGGCGAACACGCTCAGTTGACAAATCTTGGCTATAGCCTGTGTGGCTGGCGGTTTAACTGGTTTAAAACCCGCTCTCTTAAAACCGCAGCTAGTGAGGCTTATAAAATGCGCAGATATAGAGTTTACTCGCAGATATAGAGTAAAGTACAAATCTACTGCAAGAAGTTACATTAAAACTGGTATACTCATGCATGGTTCAATTTAGACAAATGAAATATATGTCTAATTTGGTTTTTATTTACAAGGCTGAAGGCAAAGTTTATGTAAATCAGGAGGAAATCTTTATGTGATTTATTAGGGTCGGCCATGGGTTTTTGGGTATACAGGATCTAATGGGTATTAGGTATATACAGCTTCTGGTTGCTTTAGGTATTTTGTAACATTTTGACCGTAATAATAGGTATTTTGATCCATGTTTATGAGGTATTTAGGATACCACGACCCCCCTGGCTGACTCCTATTTATAAGTATTGATTTGAATTTTCTTGATGACATACCAATGAGTTTTTTATGAATTTTATGATTAAAATATTATTAACGAGGTTTTTACGCCATTATCGATGTATTCCTACCTCATTTGCTTGAATGCATCAATTTCAATCCAAGTCAAACTATGGACATCCAACAACCACGCATCATCTGCAGATAAAAACATAATTCGTTACTTTAATATGATATCTGCCTTTAAATGTAGTACAATGGTTAGCCGGCTACTCCTAACTCCAATTTCAAAGCTTCAAAACTTACACTTAGTTGAATTACAAAAATCATGTGAAGGTAGGCACTTTTCTAAACCTAACTGACATGACTGGCTAACAACTCCGAAACCATGGTGGAACCAGTTATCTAAACCAACCTCGTTCCCGCAGGCTCTTTCGTGAATTTCATATATGAACAGGCGTGTCAGGCCTTCGTTCTGCACAACATTAAATCACTCAACTATATCCAGCAGGATGGCCAGTAACTACTGTAGCTCCATATACAACGTAATATAAACGTTATCATACCTAATTCTTTGTTAGTTGCATCAAATCCTCCATGAAGTAATATATGTTTAGGACCACACGTGACAAACACGTGCCATGACCGTCCACATGGCTCAGGACCGGTTACCTGTAGACTGATAAAATGAAGAAGCTATCGCAGCGTGTAAACGCACCTTTACGTAATTTCAGAGGACAATTTTAGAAAAAATGGTACAAAATCTTCTTCCCAAAATAACAATTACAATACATGGTGATAAAACTTGAAACATACCGACCACTCCAAGTGAAGCTTTGTAAATCCAAGCAATGAAGGTCGTTATCACGACACACCTATAGAAACACATCACGACAGATATAGATCTCACAATAAATATGAAAAACAGTTTCATTTATTATTACTAAACTTTAATTTTGGTTATTCTATTCAACGGTCAATTTTAGACAGTTTAAAAAATCACTCCGTTGGATTTCGTACAAGCGGCCCCTGGCCCTGGAATCACTATTTCTATCCAGACTATCCAGACCTGGAAAAAAGTGGGATCTCGGGATCCTGAGGAACATTTGCCTTAGCAACAAGACTGAGGAACATGTTGAATTTTTCACGCGTACTGTAAGGGAGAATTTTAAGGAATCATATTTAGTTATCTGCCATTTGAGTTTTGACACTGCGAAGTGCGAAGTGTTCTTCATATCCTGTTAATAGAATTTGAAGATTGTTTTGTTTCCTCAGCAATTTTACAACCAATATAATAAACTTATTGTTACACTGACACGCGTAACGCACGGAACATTTGAAACATTTTGAAGAACATTTGAAAAAGGCAAATTCAGGATCCGAGGAACATTGAACACTTTTTCCAGGTCTGTTAATCATATTATCATTGTTTCAAAATAGATGGTACATTAAAGTACTTACTGAATGTCGTCCACCAAACAGAAAACCTTTGTTTCCAATCCTTGTCATGCCATGAGCAGCTCTCGGTTGAGGTGGATCTCCCTGCATTGATGAAGGTACGATCATTTTATTCATGGTGAATGCATAGTTATAGAAGGTAACTTATACGATATTGTGGACATAGTATAACAATACCATCAAGTAAGGTCTATGGAGGATACAGTTTAGAACATCTTTAAAGGTGTTAGGTGATATAACGCGTTTTATGATCACTAGTGGGATTGGGGGCAATGATCAAGATTGGTTTGATATGAATGCTTGACTTACTTTAACGCAAGGATATTCCCATTCTAACAAATCATCTTCGTTTATGTTAAGAACAGCAATTTGACCATTCCATCCTCTCATGTGCTTCAGAGAAGAAAAAACAACACTTCCTTCCGTCAATCTACATTGCATGATTGCATATGACTTAAAATATCTTAGTTGGCCAACGGAGCAAAACTTGCGTAAACTTACGCAAAATTCTTTCGAATACAATTTCTATACATGAGAATTTCATATCATGATTGTTACATGCATTTAAACGGCAGCGGGCTCAGTAATTATTTATTTTGAACATTGTCAACACTATGAACATACCAAATACCTCAAGAATTACAAAAGGACCATGATAATATCTGCTATATGGTGAAGGACCAAAGCCTCCAAAGTAGATTATCCTACAAAATACAGCAAGTGAGTTTCAGTGTGTGCTAACCTGCAATAGCTAGAGCAACCAGCAGTTACTGTGAAATGTTTATCAAAGCTGCACAATAAGCTTTATTTAAATGAATCATCCTGGTTAACCAGGCCAGCCCAACTCCATATGAACATCACCTAAGTACTGAATATAACTGCAGGTCCTCAATAAATACATGATGCATGTATATACCTGTTATCAATCACCCATGAACCAAATTTATCTCTTGGCAGTGGTGGTTGGCCTGTGATAGACTCAGCTGAGTGATTTTTCCATTCATATGTAACCAGATCCAGGGAATACAACTTTTAAAAATTTATAATGAACAACAAAATAAGACATTTAAAGTTTTTGTAAATTGAAATTTTGAGTAAATATTACGACTGAAAAGGTGAGGAAACAAGCAGGTCATTAATTTGACAGGCATGTTGCTATTGTCTGAGATCAATTGTAACCGTTAAGGTTCTTCATCGAAACTTGGAGAGGAAGGCAAGCTAATGGAAAAAGAGTGCAAGACATGACCCAGGAGATATGATTGTTCAATTACAGTTTCCCCACATTAGTTTGTACTTACACTATTTGAATGTCCAAACTCCATACAATGTCCAGCAAAAACATACAGAGTCTGTCCAACCCTTGATGCACATGCTCCACTCAGACCATTAGGCATTTCACCATAACAGGTACATAAAACATGTTTCCTAAAGCAAAGTGCAAATACACACTTTGTGGGCAGGGCACTTGACTTGGAGGTGGGGCATTACCATCAACCAAGGGCATGACTGTTGACCAAAGAAGCATACCATAACAGAGCAAGCAGTTTAATTTTTGGAGAAAGAGCTCACTATTAGTCTACTCTATTATTAATAATAATAATAATAACACTTTATTTATTGAGGATAAACAGATAAAGTTACAACTTTTTTCCAATCTGGTCCTCCTAAACTCTATAGACACAACAACAATAACATTAAATTCACTGAAGGGCTTGAATCCGGGTTTTTCCATTAATTTAGTTTATTGTACGATCATCCAGATTAAATTTTTTTAATTACTTCTGACATTTCGGCTACCTACACAGCGGCCATTATCAAAACATATTACAGTTACAAAAAAATTTACAGTTATAATTATTTTATCTTGCGTCAAAATTGACGTGCGCATGTTCGTGATGTTGTTTGCTCGCGCCTGCGTTCAAGGCATGAGAGCCTGCATTCATGCGTGATTAGTCCAGCGTATGCTCCTGGCATATCGCGGCAAATGTTAATGCTGTTTTCATCGCATTTTGTAAACCAACTTTCTAAGAACATTCTCTCATCCTCAAAACCATTAAACTCCATACAAGTGGCTCCCTCCCAATCAATTCTATGATTTGTTTCCATGTGATGAACCGCAATTCTATTCGCCACATCTTGTTTCTAAAAAAATTTCTTGTTTTTTTTTTGGTTTTTTTTCTTGTTTTTTTTTCTTGTAATACGTCTTTGATAATGGCTGCCGTGTAGGTAGCCGAAACGTCAGAAATAATTAAAAAATTTTAATCTGGATGATCGTACAATAAACTAAATTAATAACATTAAACATGACTATTCATATGTTGTTTATAATTAATTGATGGAAGTTTCTAAATTATCATGAGCCTACTAACCAAGTACAAGTATTAACATTATAAATCCATAAAGATCGACTTGAAATGTACTCAGTCACAGGAGAATCTTCATCTTGATCACCATCCTGTATATCAAATATTTATAAATTATCACTACACGTCTGTCAAGAGGGGGTGATCAGGAATAAAAACAGAATTCTGAATGGCAGGGAATATTTTTGATCATTTCTGTGGCAAATTGGGTCCTTCCAGAAAAGATCCATACTCCCCCCACAGAGGACATTTCTGCCGTCTGGAGGGGGAGGGGAGAAAAAAATGTTTCTGATAATAGTAAATGTATTAGGACATCCGAAGGGGTAGGAGGGTTAACTTCCTATTTCCTCCGTGGGGGTGGTATGGATGTTTTCTGGAATGACCCACTTTAATTATTATATACTATTTGATACTCTGGTTCCACAGGTTTTTGTGCCGCCAAAATAAATACAAGCGAGAATAGGGCGGAAAAGACGAGAACCTCTGCCAACTAGGGTAACTATTCTATCGCATACACAATATTGTTTGTTATATGTAAACAAGTACTATTCGATACCATTCGATACCCTGGCTCCAGAGGTTCTTGTGCTGCCGAAATAAAGACGAGCGAGAAATTGGGCGGAAGATACAAGAACCTCTGGCAACCAGGGTAACTATTATATCGCATACACAATATTGTTTGGGAGTTATATGTAAACAAAACAAAGAGAAGTATATAAAAAAGATTTATAATTATATAGCATTTGTAAATTCTAAACGCTGATTCGCTAAGAGCCGTGTTGATATACAAACTGTATCAACACGGAAATGTTTATATTTAATATTTGTTACTGTTATATAAATCACTAACATTATATCCACCCCATATAAAAATATTTCCTCGAAACTCAAAACATATATGGCCACTTCTCACTTCGGGCTTCAATGACTTGATATCAGGAAAATAAACAGACATAATTTGCCTTTCGAAACCACAGAATTTGACATTTGTGAACAAATCGCCATGTTTTTATAAAAGAACTTATAGTTTACTGTAATATGATTGGTTAATTTTTCGCCAATCATATTGCAGTTTTCAACAAATCCGTACATTTGATTGGCTGATTGGCTGGGCGCGCTGTTTAAATCGACGACGAGTCGAAAGCTGTGGTCGAACGCATAATTTGAAGACTGTTGCTGATTTTTGAAAGAAAAGTGTTATTTTGAAGTATAATTCGACTTTTTCTTTGCTCTTGTGATTCACGATGCCGAAGAAAGACTCCCAGGAAAAGAATATACAAGTAGTCTTGAGATGTCGGTAAGCTATTAGGATTCTATGTCTATAAAGTATGATAATATCTTATATACTTTATATAGTAAAAATTGAAATGCTGGAAACATTCCAGATCTTTATATAAAACGTCTTTAGCCCATTTCTCACTACTTATTCTCAACATGCTTTTATAATTTATCTTGGCTATTTAATACTGCCATACAATTTTACAGTATCATGTCAGATCTTTACAGAATCCTTTTGTAAACAGAAAGAGGTCATGCATCTATAATAAACCTGTAGTTCTGAATATTAGTCCTGATAACTGCTATTCCCCAACATCTACAATACTACATTAATTATGGTGGAATCGATAACCATGCTGGGAATATCCGAATATACGTACCCTCTGCAGGCATCTATAGGTTATGTTTTCCAAACTATAGGTGAGCCCTATAAAGAGGGTACATGGAATCGTTGTGGAATCAGGAATAGTTAAGAAATTTTGATCATTTTTTCACTTTCTGTAGACCAAGGAACAACCAAGAAATCAAAGATGGCTCACCATCAATTATAGAGTGTTTGCCAAACAAAAAAGAAGTGTCTGTGAAGCATGATATAGCTGAAAAATCATCAATTACTAAGACATTTGGTTTTGACAAAGTTTTTGATCCAAAGTCCACCCAGCTAGATTTGTATCGATATGTTGTATGTCCCCTTTTGGAGGAAGTGCTTTTAGGATACAACTGTACTGTTTTTGCGTAAGTATATTTTGATTGATATTAGTGGCTGGAACATGCTGGTTAATTCATTGGTGAAGCCACCATGTACCCTAAATGTATTCTACTTTTTGTACTACCAGATGAATTAACTTGTCATTGAACAAGTTGTTATGTTCACCAATCGGCTGCAATTGCAGCCCTTAATTCTTTGTTACTTTGCACTGTTTACCCATTGAGTGGTGCAGTGCTCCCCCCCCCCC